TGCTCTTCACAGCTGGATAAACAAGCACGTTTCAACGAAAACCATTGAAAACCAGTGCAAAAGATTCCAAATTTACATTCAAATAAGATTAATAGATTTCATTCAAAACCTATGGTCGCTTTTTTGCCGCGCAATGATGGTATCATCTTCCGATTCATCGTCTGTTGATTCCGGGTCATCCGTTCTTAACGGTTTGAACCCCTGCAAGATGATTCCTTCCGGCAACAAAATCAAGGTAAAAAGCATACTGCGGGACAGAGGTTTAAAAAAAAAAATTGAAAGCAGTATAATTTTGGTGAAAATGGGCCTCCTAGTTGATAAGTTCACTTTCGAGGTTCAGGAATTGCAATGTTCTGGACAACTATTGATGCTCAAAACAGATCAGTGACATTTCAAAATCACTAAAGCCTACCAAATGCTTCTACCACGAACATTACTAACCTGGCACTTCCTTCAAGGGACAAAAACGTTAGGATCGCCAGCGGGCTGACCATCACATAAGGCAGTAAAGCAGCAGTATTGGTCAAAACAACTACGGGAGCTGCTCAATGAAGGACCTGACCAAGCACAATTGCTCCAAAACACAGCATGTGCAGTACTTTAACGTTCTATTTTTGAAAATATTCAACACTGAATTCGAGACTATCCATGTGATAATTAAGCTCAAATTCATCAAAAAGCCCTGGTAACAGGATTTCTCAGGCCAATCCGTATATCAGTGAACTTTTCTCCTTTCAGTGCAACAAGATTCAAGCCAATCAATTTAGCACCAAGACTTATTTTCCGAATTGCAACAACTTACGGCTCGATCGAGTACGGACTGCTGCTTTCCAAGTCGAATCAATCTCTTTCGTCTGTAGATATAGATGACCAAACACGGCAAAGCAATCAGTGTAAGCAAAACTATCAACATCAATGGGAAAGACGATTTCTCGGCGTAACTGAGGTGTGTGTGCAACGATGCTAATCCGGCAGTATCTTCTGCAAAAATTATCTGACCGATTTGATCACCCACTGGCTGCAATTTGCAGTCCATTCATGAGTTATGCATTCCAGTTTCCAAGCCCAACATCCAGTACAGCGCCCTTCTCCAGGCATTTGAATCAGCTACTAATCCACAGACTGACCAGCTGCTAATTCTAACAAAGTAGTTAGCAATTTCTCCAGTTACTTTGACCAAAAAATGTTGCAAAACGTAGTGGTCACAGTGGTCAGCTTGCTGCTGACGATCTTGATTTTGTTTCCGATTATCACCTAAACGCCTAACAGCTCAATTTTTCCCTCACAAATGTAATTAGAAAAGCTTTATCTGTTTTAAAATGCCACTGGTGTGCGTTGAGTGCCTCCAAGCTGTCTCGAACGTTGCTTACGCAGGTGTACCCTACCAGCAAGAGGATTTGTTCGAAATAACAGTACTAAACTTTTCCGGGTTAATTTATTTGCTCCTAAATGTAATTTAGCAATTTCTAAAAAACTTCTTTCCTTTTATAACTAGCTTTGTATCATTTTTCCTATGGTTAGTCCGGTTTTCTAACCTCTGCGTCCTTTTTCCAAATTTCTTTTAATTCTTTTCTCAAAAGAACGAATTCTGAAGACTTCTAAGAACAATTCAACCAACATTTATTCAACAGGCTCTCATCTTTTAACGAAAAAATGCCTAAAAGAGTGAGAAAATCAAAACCAAAAAAAAAAAACGCACGGCCAGCCACTTCCGAATCGCGGTGAATAATAAACTGCAAAATTCGTCCGCCATTTTGGCCCAGTTCTCCCACGTAGATA